GGGGGGGGGGGGGGGGGGGGGGGGGGGGGGAAGTGTAAAAGTAGCGTCCTGTTGTCTTTATTTAGCTGGAAATGCAATGTTGCTATTCTCGTCGTCCAGTCACTACCATGGTCAAACAGATTTTACATGTGCTTTGTAGTCTAGTATTGTTCCTTTCCCCCTTTTCTTTTCAAATAGAGTGTATCACACAGGATGTTTTTATCCTCTTTTTTATATTCTATTATGGTACACTTTACTCTTAGTTTTCCGCCGTTGTGAATTGATAAATCATTGTTATCCTTACTAGGTCTTCTCTGTGTACCAACCTCTTCAATCCAAAAGTTTGTGACTTTTGACCATCACTATCTCCTTTTTTCTCTTCGTCCTCTTCCATCCCTTTGTTCTCCGTGGGGCCTCTCTACTATCATTGATATCGTGTCACAATATGGCGAGGTTACCATTCCAGAATAGAGGTATCTGACTCCATTCACGTCTACCTGATAAGAGAGAATGAAAGAAAGCAAAGCAGCAAATGAACAAAAATGGGAGCTGGGAAGCCGAAAGGCCCAACTTAAACAGGTGGGTCTCGACGTGCGTTGGCAGAAGTTGTTAGACGACTGTTCGACATAGTCAAGAAAGGAAACAGAGCCATGCATCCAGCTGTTTTGCCTCGAGCATCAAAAACTGCATCGTATTGTAGCCCAGAAAAGCAGCCGTTTCCTTCGAACTAGGATGATATATTGAATCGAACGCGACAGTATTCAGAGGTCTAAAACCTAGATAAGATATAGGTTATTTTTGGAGCTGGCCACAAAAGAATAAAGGACGGAAAGTAGAGGAGGCAGAAACGCGTCTCGTGATGAAGATTCAGGATATTTGCTCATTCACGACCTAGAGCTAATAATGTGAGCAATTTGGGAAAGGTCTTGAACATGGATCAGGAGCAATACTCAATTCGCAGTCTGCGAGCCCGCAAAACACCCGGAATGCCTCAATCGCCGCAGTAGCAGCTTCGATCTAATTGAAATGCATCTGCAATTCGGTTGAATATTCATTTTCCATCATGTCATCTCCTAAATCGAAATACACCGGAAGCTCCCTCTCGACAATTGCTGCAACATCGGCATATCTTTCGGGATCTCGGGACCACCTGTTGCCTCCTCTACTTCAATTTCAGATAGATCATCTGATATCGCATCTCGGAGCTAATATCACCCTCATGTGATCCGACTAAACCTCCTGGGTGTTTTCTATGGAATGTTCTTGGAATTTTGGTGGGACACAGGTGCGAAATTGGCACCAGGCGCAGCTCAGCCACAGAAGAAGTTACTTTTGGAGTTTCCCCCCAGGCGAACAAGCTGATAGTTGTTCAACTTTTTCTCAAGGGATGAGATGCGAGAATCTTGCTCGGCACTGGAGAAGCGAAGGAACATTCTCCAAAGCAGATTCTGAAATTCGGCTTTGTTTCGGTTCCCTACTGAGATTTGCAAAGGTGCGAGGGTAAAAGAAGCCCTTTCAACCTGGGAGGACGACAGCCTCGACAGGCTGGATAGAGGGACTTCCATGCTAGAGCTGCTGGTTGACGGATTCAAATGGTTTGAGATTGGAGGAAAGGC